TCATTACATCACCCAGCAAGATTCAACCAAGCCTGGGACTCAAGACAACGTTACCCCTGCATGGCCCCATGGGAGTCTGACAATCAATCAGAATACATTTCTTTCACAAGAACAGGAAGCAAGTTCAAAGGCCAAGAGAGGGTATAAATCTCTCTCTCTCACCCATGTGCTCAAATGCCCAGGACCTCAAACCATGTGGTTTTGTCCACCATTAAATCATCTTTCCAAACAGCTTCTATGTTTCCAGTATCTTTCTCCCCACTTGGTACTAAACTCAGATGGACATTTCTTCCAACAGTGGCCATTTACTATTTTCTTAAAAATCTTGAAGGCCACACAGCATGGATTTTGTAGTACAAACCACATGGAGTTTGTAGTAGTGTTGTACTTGCCAAGTAATATAGTTATTTGGTATTTTAATTTGGGTTATTTTTCTCTCTTTTTCTAAAATTATGTTTAATGGTTTATCAAACCTTTGCAGATTGGAATGTAGAATGGATTCATTGATAGCTTCTAACATTCCTAAACTGAAAAGATAAAAACTGTTTTTTGTTCTGCAGGTCAAGATAGGATGGGGCCATATTTGTTTTAATAGGATGTCTTGACTTTGTCTTCTGATAAGAGAAAGCTTGCTAGCTCTAACTGGTACCTGGCTTGTCTCTCCTGAACTCCAAACAACCATATGACTTTTTTCCCTCATTAATATCTTAATGTTTATGCTCCTGCTTTCGTCAGATCTCATTTAAATGGACACATGTAACATGTTTGACTACATGTAACTAATTTCCTATGCAAAGCAGAGGTTACTTTTGTCCTGTCCAATCAACTTTTCTCTTGTCATTTTCTTTGATGTCTTAACTCTAAAAGGGGATGTAAGATGGGTCTTGGGGTTCCCTCTTTGAATGAGGAACCCTTTTTAATCAGAACATTCTGAATAAATTGTAATAAAATGATCTTCCTGTTTCAGTCTGTTCAGTGGAAAATATGCATGAGCCTAGAAGCCATATTTCCGGAAGTGGAAAGCTTTTTATAGGTGTAGAGAGTCTATTCTACTATTGTATGGATATTATTGTCAGGATCAGTGGTGGGATGCAACCAGTTTAACAACCAGTTCAGCGGGGGGGTGTCTTGCACGCATGCGTGCCTAAAGCACTTGCACGCAGCGTTCAAAATACAGCAGTTTGAAGCTCAGCTGCTTACCTTCTAAGGCAGCCTTGATAATTAGAACAGCAGAGGCACGGAAACCAGCTGAATCAACTGAGCCAGAAAGAAGGAAATATAGGACAGGATAGCGCTAGGGCGTTTGGGTGGGGCCAACTGATAGCCACTACCAGTTCGCTCAAGCCAGTCCGAACCGGCTGAATACCACCTCTGGTCAGGATTACAATTTAGGTAACTGCAACTAATTGTCATTATTTCTAATCCTAATGTCAAGTTGCAGTGGAGACCATCCCTCTCCTTAAATAAGAATAGTCGATATAAATATTTTCAAACCAATTCTAATATCATTCCAAAGTTGATAAAAATTAAACAAAACCATATTTCAGTTTTCTTCCAAAATCAATCTAAATTGGGTCAGTGTGAAACAAGTGGCTGATATGTAATCCAGAGCAAAATACATACATTCCTGCAAGCCTGAACAAAGGACTCTATACTTCCTCCTTTCCTCCCATATGATTAGAAAGATCTTATTGTCTAAATTCATTTCAGCTCTGCTAATCTTTAGCTTGTTTTTATGAACAGTTTTTCCCCCCCTTGGCAGTCTCCTATCTTGGATGTGCCCACCTCTGAACAGTGCCATCAATCTTTAATTTTTAGCATGAAAGAAGATAAAATGCATTAAACATTTAGTGAATAGTTCTATTAATCATTTAATTCATTTTAAACTGAATTTATCAATCAAGGGTTGAGAAGTCTTGGTATGATAGTACGGTGTTTAATAAATAAAAATAAATGTAAATTAAAATGAAATTAAATTTAGCCTTTCTCCCAGACCCATAAACTTTGGGGTGAACAGCCTCCAGCTTGCTATTCAGAAGCCAAATGTTCCTACCTTGGAATATAAAGCAATGCTGCTATGTCTCGTCATTTCAAATGCTGAATTGTATTTTGGAAGGGGTCTCTTCATGTTTGAAGCCCTGGGGGATTGCCTTTATTGCTTCCCTACAGAAAAACCTCTTCTCCCCCTTGGCTGAAAAGAAATTTAAATTCAGTAAAGCCTGGGTGAATTAATTCAAGGTGTCTTTTGTTATGTGCTTTAGAATGTACTTTCTTGGCCTAATACAAGGGTGTTTGTGGGAGAGAGCTCTTCTTAGCCAGATAAAGATCTATTGCTGTGGAGGGTGAAAATCATAGGAAAGACACAGTCCATTTGTATCTCACAGGACACATTGCCTGATTAGGTATACCAACCAAGACATACAAAGGTACAATACTTCGTTTCAAAAATGATTTCTGTTAGAATAATATCCTGCAGTGGACAGGCAGCAGGATGAAAATCCTTTAAAGTCCCATGAAATATAAATACAAAGCCATTTTAAAAGAAGAAACATCAGAACAACGGTCAATGCCCGCACAGATCAAAAAAGAAATGTTAATTTTTAACTGTGGTATTCTATAATATGTAACTTACATTCTATCTGTATTGGACTGCACAGAGGAAGACCACACAATGTTATAATAAAAACGGATTGATTAGGTAGAACTAATAAGAATTTGTGTTTTAGGGAATATTATTGGCAATAAAAATCAGAACACCAAGTTGGGCAGAAACGATCTCATAGACAACCCTCACTCTGTCAAGGACCTAGGAGTACTCATCTCAAACGATCTAAGCCTCAGAGCTCACTGTAACAGCATTGCCAAAAAGGCACTAAAAGATGTTCACCTAAGCGAAGTGAAGCTTCTTTTCCAGTAACATTGTATTGCTAACTAGAGCTTACAAAACCTTTGCCAGACCAATTCTCGAATACAGCTCGTCTGCTTGGAATCTACACTGTATATTGGACATTAAAACGATTGAGCAGGTCCAGAAATATTTCATGAGAAGAGTACTCCACTCCTCTGCTCACAATAGAATCCCTTATGCCACCAGTCTCGAAGTTTTGGGTTTGGACAATCTGAAACTGCACACCTGTGGTCGGACCTAAGCATAGTACANAGCAGCTGTTGGAAGAAATGTCCTTCTGGGTTCAGTTCCAAGTGGGGAAAAAGACACTGGATTCATGGAAGTTGCTTGGAAAGAAGGTTTATTGATGATGGACAGGACCACGCAGTTTGAGATCCTGGGTGGGGGGAGGAAGAGATGCTGAGAGTGCCCTGGTTTTATGCCCTCTCTGAGCTTTTGAATTTGAGCTTGTATTCTGATCGGTTGTCAGACTCCCATGGGGCCATGCAGGGGCAACTATGTAGACTGTCCTGAGTCCCAGGCTCGATTGAGCCTTGCTGGATGATGTAATCTTCCCAGATGCCATGCGGTGAGATGGGTAGAGAGCTAATCCTATCATGTCCTGAGAGCCCTATCTTAATCCCATCACCCTGGAGCTGAAGTGGGGGCATGTTGCTGCAGGAAGTTGCTTGTCTTTAAAACTTATTTCTCCTTTTCTCATCCAGGGAAATTGTCAGGTACTGAGGATTTAATAGCTACCAGCTGATGTAAGGTTGTAAGCTGATGCAATGAGGATGATGTAATGAGGTATCTATACATAGTTGACCATTAGAGGGCGTTTCTCTCTCTTTCGTGGTCTTGCTGCCAAAACTCTTGACAGAAATATAATATTCTGCCCTTTAATATTTCCTAAAATATTTCATTCTTCTAGGAGAGGGGTTGGCGCTAACTTCCTATACAGCTAAAATAATCTGCGCAAAACAAAGATAATAATGGCTTGCATAGATTACATAGGTAGACACACACACCCCGCCGCCCCCAGCAATTAGCTTCTAGTATGATGTTCCAGGTCTTCCAATAGAGCAATTATTGCCATCATTCGCTTTGCCGCTGGTACTCTCCCATTTTCTTCCAAATTTTAACCAGCATTAGCAAGCTACATAAACCATGATTTATTCCCTAGCAGATTCTGCATTTAGGGGGCACACACTATATCATTAACTATATGAACTGGATGGCTGCAAAAAGTTATGCTAAAATGTGGTTGGTTTAATTTGTGCATACAAATTAAATTAAATCTGCAAATGATTTATGTTATTTTATGTGATAATGCAGGTGATATTACGGTAATAGTTTTATTTAGTTTAAATATTATCGCCAGTGATACCAATGTCAACTCTCCTTTCTCAGCAATAACGGAAAATCACTAAATCCTGGATTTAGTACAAGGTAAGTGCCTCAGAAAATTGGGCAGGTGGTTCACTATTTTCATTACATTTTACACTAAATGGGGGGACGGGACTTATGGGACGAAGAGGAAAAAACTCGAGGGCGGGACAAATAAAAAGGGCGGGACCCAAACCGACCAAACAGGAAACTAGGAACTATTGAGGGGACAAGTAATAACTAGGAAAACACGAACGGGGGCGTGGCTGAGCTGAGCGAAACGGAAGAATTTCGCTCTCCTAGAACCGAGTGTTAGGCGCCTAAAACCGCAAAACGCCTAAAGGGACTGGAACCCGGAGGATAAAAGGGGAGGGGTTTGCCTTGGATGATGAGCAGGGAAGGGGCGTGGCGCTGAAGGAGCGGATTGCGCCTCCAACACTGGAAAGGCTGGCCGAGGGGGCGGGGCGCGGGAGGCCGTCGGCGGCGTTGCTGCGAGCGCGAGCGCTCTCTTCCGAAGTTCCTTCGAGAGCGGTTGGAGGTGGCAACGGCGGGCGCTCGAGGCGACCGTTGGGGGGGGCGGGGCTCCCCCGAACGCCCTGAGGGAGAGCGGCAGTTGCCCTGAGGGGCGCTTAAGCGCCTGGTGTGGTTGCCACCGACAGCTCTTCACCTCCAAACAATGGACGAGTCCCCTATGGTAGCCGGGCCCTGCCTGGCCGGTCGGGTCGCCATGGGTGGGGAGAACGAAGCTGAAAGTCGGCAAGGCCCTGCAGACCGAGCCAACGGAGAGTCGCGCCTCAACCTCTTGGACACTTGTGGGGTGTGCGGGCAACACATTCAGAGTCGGCGGCCTAAGCTGCTTCCTTGCCTTCACTCGCTCTGTCAGCGTTGCCTACCGAGTCCTCACCGCTACCTCATGCTGCCACCTCCCGCGGCCCCTTCGCCGGGTGGCGGAGGCGGCGGCGCCCCCAAAGATCCGCCTCTGCCGCCGCCGCCGCCGCTGCTTCAGCCGTCCTCAGCGCCTTCTTCGCCGGTCTCCGCGCCGCCTTCGCCGTTGCACTGTAATCCGGGTAAGAGAGAAAACGGCGCGCCTCGGCGGTCCCTGAATAGGGCGAATGGGGACGGAGAAGAGTGTTTTGCCGCCTTGATGATTCTGCTCGGTGGTTGCCACCCAAAGGAATAAATAGTAATTCTGTGCCGGGAGGGGAATTAATTGGCCAAAAGAGCAATATTCCTTCCGCGTAATATTCCTTCCCTCCTGTCCCCGAGGCTTGAGGTGAGACGCATCAGTCTTAACGTCTTGTTACGCGGAGAAGTTCCGGGATGGGAGAGAGAAGTCTTGGAGCTCAGCCAGAACACAACTTGGATCCTGGTTCCGTGGAAGCCCAGTATTAATGTCCACAAGCGTTTAGGAGTTAGGCATCTGCTTTGTCCAAGTAAGCCCAGTATACAGAGAGGCGAAATTGTCTTTATTCTATTTGCAGCCGACAGGCAAAGACTTGCTGCATCCCATGAGTAGGGTTAGTAGGAAAAGCAAACAATAGTCCTGTGATTTTGGGCCATTTGAAGGCTGCGGAGGCAAATCCTTTATGGAAGGTTAGAAGCTTTCAGTTCCTCAGCACGGTTGTGGTGTTGGACTGAAAACTTAATGGGATTTGAGAGATGAGATGCTGAGATCCAATTTAAAACTCCGCCTTTTGGAAGGGAAACCATGATTGATGGCAACTTCCCATTGTTTATGCGCCGCATCCTGTATTTAATAGAGGTGTGAGCCAGGAAATCCCAAGATGGCTTTTTTATATTGAAGTCAAGTTCTTTAAGGGCATGTTTGAAAAACGATTTATACTGTTAATTTCTTCTAATGGTAATATTAGAAATCTCCACTGATAAAGATTTAGAGGTATATTAGAATATACCATATTCACTAGTTCATGGATTGAGGGTGAATGCCCTATTATCTGTAAGACACCTCGAGTTGTGGGGGATTTCTTGGTAGTTTTATTTGTGTTACGTGTAGAATTCCTTTTCTTTTCTCTTACTTTCATTGGCTTTGGCTCTTTTTGAGTTCCCAAAAGAAAAATGCAGTGATTTTCTGAGACACCTGTACAAGATAGATTTTATATGTGTAACCTTATTACTAGATGACAGGAATGTACATAGCCTTTTTTCTTATATATTGGCTTATAGTAGAAACAAGGAGTTGTGGATAGAAAACTTGGAGTCCTATGATGAAGTAGAATACTGATTCTTATTTGTATTATGAGTTTATTAAGTTATTATATCATATTGTAATCTTTTTATTACTCTTCATACCCCTAAGTATTAATTTTTTGGTCTATCACATGATTTATCTGGTTTTAGATATTGAAAATTCTATATATACATATATGCATTATGCTTAGTATTAGTAAATATGATTAACTTTGCATCCAACACTACATTTTCATTTCAAATATCTACAAATTTAAAAGTTATCCTATTGATTCTTCTATCATGTTTTGTAGATTTTATATGTCTTTGCATGGATTTGTCATACTCAATCTTAATATATTTCAATTACTGCTACAACATTTAGTTTTTCCAAATATCCATATTTTAAACTTATTGCTGAGCCAATACATGTGTAATCATGAAGGCATTTTTTTACCAGACAGATCTCTAAATAGCTTAGAATAGCGGTTCTCAACCTGTGGGTCGTGACCCCTTTGGGGGTCGAACAACCTTTTCACAGGAGTTGCTAAGACCATCGAAACTCTAAACTTTAGACTCTCCCTTGCGTTCCTTGAAATCCCCTGCGGATGGGCTCCGGAGTCATCGCTGGCCATGCAGAGTGTTGCTGCGGCTCCACGCCATGGAAAACATAGCTGCGCATGCACACCCCATACAGTTGCAGCCTTGGACACTTCCTAATGGCGGGAAATTCTTGGTCGCCCGGGCTTCTGCAGAAGCTTTCCAAAGCTCTCCGAAGGCAAGAAGCGGCTGCCAGCGAAGCTCTCAGTGATGGCAAGAGTCCCGCCGCTGCACTGGATTCAACAAAGTGGCTCAAGCAGCAACGGGACATGCGTGGGGAAGGGAAAGCCGGAACTGACTGCCCGGGACTGTTTCTGCACCTCTGTAAAAATGTCTGTTTTCCAGCCGCAGAAGGGAAGGGAAGAAGCCAGTCTTTGGAAAGAACCTCCCTTCCCCTCCAGAGAGCCTATGCCGAAAGACAGGAGGGGGCGGGCTATTTGAATGCGGGCAAACAGGCAGTTTAGTGGCATACGAGAAAGCCCACTGCCCGAACGTGGTAGATGGAGAATGGAAGGAGATCGCATCGGGCAGGGGGGGAGCGTTGGTCCTGTTATTGCTGAAACTGCTTTTGCTGACTCCAGCAACAATGGGACCAATAGGGGTTGGGAAATTCATGCAGAGGGAGGAAAATGCATGCATTCCCCACCCCCTCCATTAGAAACGAGACAACTGTCAGAAGAGGGCAGCGCATGCCACATGAGCTTGTGCAACAGCCGAAGAACAGGAGGTGAGGTGACCAAAATATATGTTTGTGTGTGAGTGAGACAGACAGACAGACGGAAAGAGGCACAGAGACAGAGATGGGAGAGGGATGAGAGAGACACAGGGAGACAGAGAGAGAGGAAGGGAGGGGAGATACAAAGAGAATTACAGAAAGAGGCAGAGAGGGAGAGAGGATGGAGAGAGAGACAGAAAGACACACAGAATTACAGAGAGAGACAGATAGAGAAAGAGAAAGAAAGGAAGAATTGATGGCTGTTTTGTTTTTTCTTTCCTTTTTTTCTTTTTAAAAGAAAGGCACTCTTTCCACTTAGAGTCAGGAGCCTGCTCTTTAACTTCCCAAACAAAATTTCATTTATTTGTAATTAGACATAAATATTTCACAATAATTACATATTGTTTTTGTGATTAATCACTATGCTTTAATTATGTTCAATTTATAACAAAAATACATCCTGCATATCAGATATTTTCATTATGATTCATAACAGTAGCAAAATTACAATTATAGAGTAGCAACGAAAATAATTTTATGGTTGGGGGTCACCACAACATGAGGTACTGTATTAAAGGGTCGTAGCATTAGGAAGGTTGAGAACCACTGGCTTAGAGTCTAAAACTTTCCGAATGTAGAAGATAATGTAAGTAAATACAGTTAAAGACTTGCATGGCATCAAGTTAAACACTTGTTAATAAAATGAACCCTGTTTATGCAGACAGATATAGAATCCCTGGAAATTAAGCAAATGCTTTTAAGTCAGGCTAACTGTATAATTAACTATTAAACACATATCTATTTGATAATTAAAATGTAATGTTTGTAAACTGATTTCTTTGCAATGTAGCAAACATGTATTGGCAACCATTGCAAGATTTTAGTGCATATTCTTAACCTTCATAAAATTGGTTGAAATCTTGTGAGATTTGGGCCAATTTTGCATAGAGCAATTTTTTATAATTTTATGTGATCGGTTTCATGTTGTTAAGCTTACTTTAGGGGTATTTTCTGATCCTATTATTAAGGGATATCTTGGTATTAAATAGTACATAACATTTAATAAACATTGTCCACTGTAAGCTTTAGAAATATACAAATCCTTTTCTGCAATTGCTTTTCAAAATGTGAAAGCATTATGCTCATTATATAATATCTATGAGATACTGAAATATATCCTATTCCCTACCCATTAATAAGTCAAATTCTATTAGATGTGATAAATAAATTGGAGACATATATCTGGCCAGATGTAACCCTATTCCTTATAAGGTCCCTAGATTATGTTTGCTTCCTTTTTTATTTTTAAATATATGAGGGTTTGTGACCTGGAGTCTTTATAAAGCATTCAGTTCTAAAAATCTTTACAAAATTTATAGTGAAATTCATCAGCAAAACTATTGATTTTCAGTAACAGGTTAGTCTTTTATTAACTTATAAAGAAAGTATTATCAAATTAATTTGATTTTTTAAAAAAATATATATGCATATATTAGTTATATGACATTGACACTTAGCCAGCAAAAGAAAGAAAAGGCTACAAAATATTCAAAAAAATTAAACCCAATTGCTGAAAAATCCTCTTTATAATACTAATTTAGATGGTTAACAGACATTACAAAATCTATTTCCCATGCATGAAAAATCCATATCTTGATAATGATCAGATTCCAAATCCTGGCGATATAACCAAATATAATATATACCTCCTCAACTAGCTATGATTGACCTAAACTCATCTTAATAATGATCCTGTGGATTTCAACCCAAAATATAGCAAAAGTCAAGTCCAAACAATATGAATATTTCAATTTTTAAAGTGGATCTTTCCAGATCAAATCCTTATTGAACAGCCTGTGAGAAGTCCAGTATATATGAAATAGCAATTTTGTATTGGTTTATGTTAACAATAAAATAATTTCACCTTATGTGTTTCAGAAAAATACCCAACTTAATTTTACTATTCCAAAATTCACATGACATTCATAAACATTCAGATTACATTTTTGTAAAATTAAATTGCTGGTTTGGGAGATTTTTCATATATATTACAAAAAAAAGGTATGATGAATTGCATTAACTTTAATGATGCCCAGCATACCCCTTTTATGTTTTAATTCCTTAGAGCACTCAAAAAATGCTTGTTGTGGAACTTAAAGGGTAGGGAAAAATTGCAGCCCTGGGCACAAAAACATCATATTCTTAAAAGAATCAGCACAACAAAATCATTGCCATTGGATGAACTACTTTGAAAACAAAATATATATTTAAAACAACTGAGTTTGTATTAGTAATTAGTAAATGAGCAATATTCAACAATATTATCAGCTTTTAACTATCAACTTAAAAGGTATACCACATAATTACAAATAGTCCTCACTTAATATTAATTGGGACTGGGAACTCTCTTCCTAAGTGGTGTGGTTGATAAGGAAAACATCACATGACCACATTAATTTATGACATCAGTTCCAGCTGTAGTAGTTAATCACCTTGTTAAGTGTGACAGCATGTGACTGTAACTAGTAACTTCCTATAAGCTTCCCCATTGACATGGCTTATTGG